CGATTATGGTCGGTGTGGTTTGGTTTAACTAACGAAAATAAAAAATAAACAAAAAAACCAAATCCAAACAAGAAGCAGACAATGACCCTAATAACCCCATTAATTAGTAATTCTCCAATTCATTTCTCTGCTGAAAATTTGTCATGGTTGTTGTTATACGAATTTTATGCCAACATGACAACCAAGCAGGCAAGTACCATCGGGGCATTTTATCAAACATTGGAGTGCCTGCATATATCTAATTTCTACTTCAAATCATCCAAACCCCACAAATCAAACTTCACATAAATTTGATCCAAAGAATTAATAGAATCAACAAAACACACCATAAACTTCAAAGACATAAAATCTAGTAATCACAGTAACCAGGACTACAAGATTTGGTGGAGATGTTTCATGTCGTCGCCGTAATGGAGAGAGGGAGCTATGGAGTATGTCAAAACTTTTACAACTTGTATTGCACGGATCCACTGTCACCTTAACGTTTCGTGTCAATAACACAATTACATGTAAAAAAAACTTAACACATGTCATTGAATTATTAACACGTGATGCTACGTGATGGAATACTCATGCCATGCAAATTCTTACCAGAACTCGACTTCAATTGTCAACAATTTCAATTCAGAATTATCTCCAAAAGGCTAGCTCAAAACTTCAAAAACATTTGTTTTGATTTAACTGTTGCACTAGTTGGAAGGCCGATGCATGCAATAGGAGTTGCATAAATTGCATTCTTTCCTTTGTGTTATACACCACCAACTTCACTCGAAGAGAAATGATTGTCGTACTTGCTTTTTATCTTTCTACACTGTCAATTTAATTTGTTTTTTTCTCTTGATTCACTATTTTATTTAGTCAAACACCATGACATGTTTGTTACCATAAACAAATTTTATTGGATCGAATCAGGAAACACTTGAGCACTAAAAACATAATCAAACTGAAGAGACGCTAATTACTCATTTAATTTAAAGACGCGAAACTGATTTTTCCTTTACATTACCACCAACTGGGGACTTGAGCAACGAGATGAACCCACTGTGAAGTTCAAACTTGGCCATGTCTTCCTCCGTCAAGCTAAAATATGACTCAATTCCATCACCATTTTTGGTGTCCATGAAACTATCTGATTAGCGATGCCCATGGCAGCCTGGCTCACCCATGCAGGCTTCCCCCAACCAAAATCAGCATCATACATAGGAAATCTGCACAAACTCGAAAAGGTCAACGTCAGGAGCTCTCCTATTGCGGCCCTCTCCATTCTTTTCCTCATGAAATCCAAATGTTCTTGATATCCCTCTTGAAATCTCCTCATGTAACTATTGTCAATTTTCTTAATTTCCTCTATCGCCTGCCTCACAAGGCGGTGGCGCTCCTCCCCATTAACCGACGTTGGAGTTGCAGTGGCAGCCCTGTAATAATTCCCAAAAGCATGTTGGGACAGTGGTGGATCACATTTTGACCGCAGATCCATAATGCAAACAGCTGTGTACAAAGTTTGAGTAGTTTCAACTTCAAGTGGTTCTCTAGGCCTTGATGACAGAAAGATGTTCCACAAGAAAGCTAGGCCTCAACTCTTGAAGGGCGTTTATGGGTTTTTGAAAACTCCATGCTCTCTTGGTATCTCGATCTTAAAGCCTCAACCTTTGCCCCATCAAACACAAACCTCCTGGTTATGATTGCTTTCCTTTTGGTGATGATAGAAACCCCTAAATACCCTTCCACATTTCTTGGTGGGAAAACTGAGGCTGCAGAAAAATCTGGACAAACAAAAATATTGCTACAATTCTTAGCAATAGCTGCCCAATTGTTGACGAACATAAAACATGACAACGCATCAGCGATCCTGTGGGATATACAAACGCCAATTGCAAATCCTCCACAATCAAACACGCTGAGTTGAACACCGAGGGGTATTTCAGTAGCTTCAGCTGTCTTGAAGGGCAAAAATCTGTTCTGGTCAGACTCAGAGAGAAGAGGGTTGGTGATCACATCGGAAAGGAGTTGGGATTTAACTTTGGCTTCAAAGAATGGGACGCCTTGGTCACTGCAGTGAACAACGAGATTGTGTTTGACTCGGTCGGCTAACGGGTAGTAATGGGTTAAGACTTTGGACAAAGAAGTCTTGAGGATGTCTGATATTTGAGTGAAGGTTTTGGTGACGTCGCCGTCGGAGCTGTAAAAGTAGATAAATTGCATGTATGCATGGGGAGCTAATTGATCGAGAAACGAGAGCTGGTGATGGTGGAGATGGTCTGGGGTTGGAGAAGATGGTTTGATGATCTCTTTGGATATTACTTCAACTTCAATCTCCATTCTCATTTATTTCTCACCTACTAACAATTGACATTCGAAATGCAAGCCAATATATCTCCGCCATTACGCTTGGGTAGTTGACGAATGGAAAGACCCATCAGAGGAAGCTCTTGCTGGTGACAAAGGAATATTAATATTGTAGCAAACTCAACAGTGAAAGCTTTTGAACGCCCATACCTGCTTCTCCTCGGCACTTGCAAGCGGGTCTTTACCCTGCACAACATTATGTCTTCTTTGCTAAAGCCAGAAATCCCTCCTCCATTTCAGCCCCACAATTTGATCGGTTTTTAGGTTTTTTCCTTTATTTATTTTTTTTTTTTTTTTTTACTCATTTGTGTATTTTAGGTTTTTGGCAATATAACTAATGATGTGGCAAGACATGATTGTGTGGTCTTTAAGTCTTTGAAGGTCATATTCCACAAGGATAAAGCTATCAATCAAATTATCATTTCAAAGTAGGTGGGAAAATAAGATTCTAGAGTGAGCTTAGTAGCATTCATAGAAAATAATCACGTTAATAATACTTAATAATTAAATCATCAACCGACATATTATTTAGTTTAAAGTTTTAATTTAAAATTTTAACACAATATTTATAACATTAACCTGATAATTAACCTTAAAATGTAAAATGATAAAAAAATTATAAAGAATTCTATTTTAAAAGAGTTTTAATAGCATTTCTCTACGGCATCACAATGGAATAACCTTGTATATTTATCGGTGGGAAAATAGGTGCTGCAGAAAAGTCCGGACCCACAAAAATATTGCTCTTCCTTTGCATCACAATTCGTTAGAGCTACCCATTTGTTCACATATGTAAAAGATGTTAACCCATCTGCAATCCTACGTGAAACACATAAGCCAATGCAAATCCTTCACAATCAAACACAAACTGAATTGAACCCCAAAGGGTATTTCAGTAACTTCATCTAGTCTGCAGGGCAACAATTGGTTGAGATCAGAGATCGAAGGGTTGGCGATCACTTCCGAGAGGAGTTGGGGTTTTGTCTTTAGCTTCGAGGAATGGGATGCCTTGATCGTTGCAATGAACAAAGAGAAAGTGTCTCACTCGGCCGGCGAAAGGTTAATATTGGGCTAAGATTTTGGACCAAGAAGTCTTGAATTTGCTGCATCAGTACATTTGAAGTTTTCGTTGAGGAACTTTTTCATTTAAATTTGCATAGCTCGGTGGTTTTTCATTTCAATTTGTATGCCTTTGTGGCTTTGAATTTATATTTAATTTTGCCTACTATTTATGATTAGTATTAGCACTGATCTTTGCCATCAAACTTTTTCACTTGAATTTGCATACGTCTGTGGCCCTTATTCGCACAGATTTATTTCTTTGCAGCTAAACAATTTTATAATTTTACACGCACACGCGCGCGCACACACATATATACATATATATAATAATCAAAGATTATTTTTGGAATAATAATGGGTGGGGAAATAAAATTTCAATTTTTTAACTTTTTAAGATGTGTGGAATTATAATGTAAGTGGGAAAATAAGACAATGAGGTGGGTTTAGCAGCTCTCAAAAGCAAAAACGCAATTGGTTCATGGGACTTAATCATCACCATGACAACATCCATTGTTTTATTTAACTTGAAGACTAATGAATTGCACGAATCACAAACATAAAGAAATAAAACCCATAATGGTTTTCATTATTTTAGGAAAAACTAGAGAAGAAATAAAACCCATAATGGTTAACATTATTTGTAACATATCACACAAACATAAATAAATTAATTTACACAGTTCAGCAGCACCCAAACAGTTGAAGAACCATAAGAGCAAGTCTATCCCTCCCAATTACCCAAGCAATTGGGTGATTGAATCCCCCAAAACCTACAAAATCCTCTCCACCCCAAACCCAATCAGTCGTGCTACATGCAAGGAAGCAGAGCGACTACTGAATCGAGCAGGAATAGCCTAACCAACCGCATAAGGCTATGTGACGTCAGCGTGTGGCCAGCCTCATCACTCTACCCTTGTAATTCCTTCATCCACTCTGTCAATCTTTATTCATACTTGCATGGTGAGAATTGTGGTAGAAAGACTTTACTATGGTCAGCTTAGTGGAAAATGTGAGATGAGCAATTTGAAATGTCTACTTTCTTCTCATATAGTCATATGTATGCTTTAACATATGACAGTTTTAATTATTCATGAGCAACTGAATTTTACTTTTCTTTTCACGGTACACTTAATTTCGTAGATCAACATATGTGTGTTTTTAACGAATTTTATTAAATGCGTTTGAGGACTAATTGAAGAAAATATTCAATTCTTTCAGAAAAATCGCTCTCTCCTCAATAATTACACTCTCGTTCTGTCATCTTCTCTAAAAATGTCATTAATTTACATTAACAAACTTCTAATTTTTCAATTTGTAACAGAGATGCATACATATGATGGAAAAAAAAATCTTTGAAGTGCTATTAAGGAAGTTTGGAAATGCTTATGAGTATACATGTGTATATAGGATTGTAATTATGGTTGTATATGTATGTGTAAATAGAGTTGGTATTGCCCCACAATCCAATTATATAAATATGCATTATCATCTTAAATTCTTAATTAGCGTGGTCTTTCATTTTGAATGAAGCATCCTTTTCCTTTCCACACAACCAAAGAAAATGTGCATACATACCACCCTTTGCATAGCAATAGCCTTGAAACGCTTTAGGGGAATGCCTTGATTAAAGTATTAAATAAAGACATAGTAAATCATATACCTTTATAAAAAAATAAAAAATAAAAAATAAACTCATCTTACTACATATTTGTACTATCTCTTTAACAAAGATGAGATCCATATGTGTTCGTGGACCGTACATCTATTAAATTGATAATACAAATATTTAGTAAGTGTAACAATATTACTTAATACTTCTTTTTCTGCAATCAGACTTTGTTCCTGATGAACAACTTATTCAATCCAAATAGCATTATACAAAACGAATTACTAAACCTTAGCATCTTGTGGTGGATAAGTACATGCCAGCAGCTGCTCATCATGTTGGAACTTAGCCATGTCTTCCTCCTTCAAATTCACCCATGCTTCAATCCCACCACTTGACCCAGCATCAATGAAACAAACCAGGTTCTTAAATGGAAAGCTGGCCGACCCGACCCACACAGGCTTGCCCCACCCGAGGTCCGTCTCATAATATGGGAACCTGCACAAGCTGCTGAAGCTAAACGACGCTACTTCACGCTTCATAGACTCCTCCGCTAGCTGCTTCAAAAACTCCACGTGCTCGTTGCCCTCTTTGATTTTGGCCACGTAATCACCGTCGATTGTCTTTATCGCCTGCCTCATCTGGCGCACCATCCCGTAACACGTGTCCTCTCTCTCGTCAAACGACGGCGAGGACATGACAAACCGGCTCACGTTCCCGAAATGGTATTCCGGCAGTGGTGGGTCCATCCTCGTCCGCAAGTTAACGGCGTGAGCCACTCTGTAAAGAGTGTTGGGGTTCGGCTTTCCCTGAGTGGAGGCTATAAACCGGGCCCATATAAATGCTGACAAGGCCTCAATCCGACTTGGCTTTATCTCATTGGCTTTATTATCTGTATATCTTGACCTAAGAGAAGCAATCGTGGAAGCACTGAAAACAAACCTTTTTGTGACGATTTTTTCTCTAGCTTTCTCAACGCTTGGTTTGAATCCTGATATGCTTCTAGGTGGAAAGAGCGTGGCCAAATCAAAAATTGGACGACTGACTGTACTATTTTTAATGTTGCAATCTCCACGAGATATCGACGCCCAACTGTTGAGGAACGTGATGAATGACAATGCATCGGCAACTTTGTGAGAAAAGCAAATTCCAATAGCCATGCCACCACAATCGAACATGTTGACTTGGATAGCAAAAACCAAGTCACCGACATTGTCTAGTTCACATGGGAGTAGTTTGTTGAGCTGGTTTGGGTCTGGTTCGGATATGACATCGGAAAGTGGTGGGGACCTCACTCGGGCTTGGACATAAGGCGCACCTTGGTCGTTGCAATCGATGAAGGCATTTTCAACGATACGTCCAGCGAACGGATAATATTGTGTCAAGGCCTCAGATAAAGATTGTTTTACCCTATCTGAATAAGTTCTTGCATCGTTGACATGATGATTATTGTAGAAAAAGATCATAGGCATGAAAATTTGTGTTGCGATTTGGTCGAGAAAAGAAAACTCATGCTTACAAAGATGGGGTGGGGTTGGCATAGAAGGCTTAATGTAAGCTCTCTCAATCACTTCAATCTTCATCTTGTAAGCATAATATTGTTGAGAAAAGAGAATGCAATTTGCTTTGATATGTGGAAGACTAGTTGTATATAGCAAATGGCAGCAGATGGTGTTGTAGATTATTGTCTTAGGGAGTGTGACATTTATGGTGCTTGTCGGCTCGACTGGTCCCAAGCCAGTAGGCCCTCTTCTTATCTTTTTAACGCGTTGCATTCAATATGGAGGTGTTTGGTTTTCTTCAAAGCTAAAATAAAGTTAAGGTTTCAATGCTTGTGGCCCAAGAAATTAATAAAAAGTTTAATAAGATGGAGCCCGTGGATAAGATGACAGTCCTAATCTCTTTACTTCTACAGATTTTTTAATCTGTCCGAAACACGAGACGGTGTACATCTTATGTCATTATATAAACGAAAGAAATTTTTTTTTAAGTGTCCTTCTACTTGTCTAATGATATATAGCATATGTGCTCATGTTTAGACAGTGAAAATCTTTACTCTACTTGATGCATGCCGGTTCAAAACACTTAATTAGGTGGCGGAGACTTTGAAGACTTCTGTTTGTATGGAGATTTCAAAGGAAATCATATCAAATAAATATATGCATGAGTAAATGCAAATTAAAAAATAATGAACTTTTGGGTTTTTACCGGGTTTGGCATAATAATACTCCAAAAAGAAGTGGACAATAAGGTTGGTGCGCTTTAACTTTACGCCACCTTGGCAGATAAAGGATGGCGACATGTACAGAATTATGATCTGGCCATCTTAATTTTGGAAAAGGATACTTGTAGGATTCTTTTTTAGAGATACGGATGATCGTTTATCGTATATCGTATGATCAGTTTTCGTTAAGTATTATATATATTTAATTTTAAAATTTAAATTTCAAATAATTTTTGACCGCATAATGTACGATGAACGGCCACATTCACGAGATCCCTTGGATCTCCAGGAAAAGGATCCGGCGAGGATCCTTTTCCCTTAATTTTTGTAATGGAATATCATGTAATCAAATTTAAAGTTAGGAGCAAATTCCAACCGATATATCAATCTTATGTGGATTGATATATGAGTTTTCATATGTCAAATTTGACATATGAGAAAATGTGATGTCAAATAATTTTTAATTATTTTATTGTATGGATCCCATTAATGCACTAATTATAGATCTTGAAATTTTATTTTAATTGATTTCTTTTTAAAATTGGTCCTACAAATATTATTTATTACAAAAAAAAAAACATATCGGTTGGAAAAAAAGAAAATCTGACATTGCCACATCAGTCATCAAATTAATATTTGACTTTTATCTTTTGACATCTCATTCAGAAATGCACTTATGCTTCAAAGTTTACATTGACTTTCCGTTTTTGTGTTACTTGAATAATTACACCATCGATAACTTGTATAGCTGAACCAAGCATTGCAATGTATTATGTACGTATGCAATTTTTGTAAAACATTAACAATAACATAATTGAACACCTTAGTTTTAGGATGTACTTTATTTTGTAGACATTTCTGAATAGAGAAGTGTTGAGAATGAATCTCAAATTAAGAGGATGAGGGATCTTGCATGAATGTTTAAGTAATTTTGTCCATTTTTCATATTGTCAATTGATTTTATAGTGGAACATCAATTTTTCATGATATCAAAGCAGGTTCTCCCATGTGTGAATCCTAACGTTCACACATGCTCCACGTCACCCAGCAGTGTTGTCTGCGTGTTTGGTTTGAAAATTCACCTCTTGTGAGGAGTCGTGTTAAGAATGAATCTCATATTGATGTAAGGATGGACCTTACATAAGTTTATAGGTAAATTAAACTACTTTCCATCAATTGGTTTTATAAAAAACCTTAACTTTCTTCAAGGGTTAATCAACCCTAAGTTCTAATCTTTCCTCCCACCTCACTAATATCAACTTTGAATCTCTTTAATTAGTTGGTAAACTTAGTACGTACTTTGATTAGGAAGAACAATCGGGATTCAGATCTCTAAATTGAGCGTTCAAATGTATGAGTATTATTATAGTTGTCTATGCAATGTAGAAGCGTACGAGCATACAATCTTAACCAATTTTATATTTACACCGAGAAGGTGGATAGCACTCACTGTTAAGAAATTGAATAATTCAAAACCTTGAGCAGACAGTCATTGACCAAAACCAATCAGAAATATTATAGGGAATTGTTATTAGCACTCTGAAAATTTCATTCTACACTTCTCATAAGTGTATTTATCTTTCTAATTATAGAAGGTTTGGTGTGTCAAATGAAATTTTTGACATGCTAATAACAATTATGATATTATATTTTATAACCAAAAATTAAGGAAATATTCAAATAAAGAGTTTAGTTGGATAAAAAAAATTCATCTAGAATAATCGTCAGTACACAAATCTATATTATTATTAAGAGAACCCTTCTTGTCAACTTTTTGCCACTTTTTTTTTCAATTTTGCCCTCACTTTTGATACACAGTACTTACATAAGGAGGGCAAAATAGTAATTTTGTATCTTTTGCCCTTTTTCCTATTTTGCCCTCACTTTTGATACACAATGCTTACATAATGAAGGCAAAATAGTAATTTTGTATCTTTGATAAAATGACAATCATATCCCTATTTTTCTTATTTACCCTATTTTGCCCTCACTTTTGATACACAATACTTACATAATGAAGGTAAAATAGTAATTTTGTATCTTTGATAAAATGACAATCATATTCCTATTTTTCTTATTTTACCCTCACTTTTGATACACAATATTTATATAAGAAAGACAAAACAATAATTATGTAGTATTAAGATAAAATATGCATTTATTAAGAGAAATTGTCCCACCATCATTTTTTATACTCTTTTTAAAATTTTAAAAACTAATCATACTACTTAATAAAAAACAAAAAATAAAATGAAATTGTTCACATGCATAAAGTGTGTGCTCATTGTCTAGTATTCTTTAATTGCTAGCCTCATCATTGTATGCAAAACTCCACCTAGTACTCAGCTTGAAGATATTTGTATGGCAAAGGGTGACGTTCTTCTTTGCACTTTTGTGGTTTTTTTTTTTTAGGAACTTTAACGAAAAGTTTCTCGTGCTATTCACTTTAACGAAAAATCATATTTGTAGATTAAAAAATCAATCCTAATATTATTCATTTTACCCTTTATTTTATCCTTATCGTTAAAACTCAAAGTTTTGAATTCATTTTCATTAGTTTTCCTTTCTTCTTTGTTTTTTATGGTTTTTCAGAAACTAAGAATGTATACAATGTCTTTTTTTTGTTTTTTTTTTTTTAAAAAAAACATTATGATTAAGGAAGAATGTTCAAAACTATTACAACTATTTAAGAAGTTTCATACTCAGGATGCATGATTGGAAACTCAACATCATATCCACTAAGATATTGAACCACATACAAGGATGTATATAAATATCACTTGAAATCTACACCTATGAGATCGTTAATAGGCCAAAACGTAATAGATTAAAGTTAATTTACAAAAACTTACCTAGGACTTTTCTGATCAGAAAATTAAGTGAGATCTTTCACGGTAAGAAATTAGCAGTACATATATTCAGGAATCAAAATATTACCATTTCCTCCAAAGACACAATTTTTTTCAAAATTGGGAATTGAATTCCTTATTTGTGTAGGCCCCATTTTTGTTAAGATTACAGTTAGTAAATACTTGAATAATTCATAGCTGGAATCCATCTTCTTAGGCCATCTCCAACCGAAGGGTCCAGAGGGTCGAAAATAACCCGAAAACTGTCTCCAACAAAGGGCTAGGCCAGAGGGCTCATGGAATCTGAAAGGGCCAAAAGACTGGAGGGCTGACTAGAAAATAGAGCAATTATGTCAGTTATAACCGACAAGATTGCTTTAAAAAAATTTTGCTAATTTTTTTTTAAAATTTTTAAAAGTTCTAATTTTTTTTCCCTATAAATACCAAAATCATTCATTAAATTTAAGTTCAATTTTTTTTGGTTTTTTGGGCCAGTTACCGTTGTAGTTTTTAAATTTAAGTTGTTTTAGTTTTTAAACTTAAATAATAAATTATGTTTGGCCCTATGACCCTTTGGCCCTCGGTTGAAGACGATTTTTTGTGATAGGGCTAAAACGAGCCATATGGCCCTCGGTTGGAGACGGAGGCAAATATGGCCCTATACTGTTCATTAAAATATTAATATCTTGAAGGGCCAAGGGGCTAAAACGAGCCCTCTGACGCCATCTCCAACAGAGGGTTGGTTAGAGGGCTTGTTTTAGCCCTTTGTCCCTTCAAGATATTAATATTTTAATGAACAGTACATGGCTATATTTGCCTCTGTCTCCAACCGAGGGCCAAAGGGTCAGAGGGCTCGTTTTAGCCATGTCATAAAAAACCTTCTCCAATCGAGGCCCATAAGGCCAAACATAATTTATTATTTAAATTTAAAAACTACAACAACTTAAATTTAAAAACAACAACTTAAATATAAAAACTACAACTAAAATTTAAAAACTACAAATTAATTTAAAAACTACAACTAAAATTTAAAAACTACAAATTAATTTAAAAACTACAAATTAAATTCGAAAACAACATTAACTTAAATTTAAAAAAAGAAAAACTAACCAAAAGGGCTTCAAAATTTTGAATTTTAATATAAAATCATATACAAACTTTATTTAATAATAAGGATAACAAAAAAAAAAGAAAAATAATAAAAAATAATCAAACCCAACCGCGCGTAAGCACGCGCCAACCAATTCAAATATCAAATAAAGCCTTTGCTGTAACTGTGAGCAGATAGAACTGATAAGAAGACTAACGTGCAATGCAAAATAAGTAGTGGGAGTAGTACAATGAATGATGAGATGGAATGGATGGATGAAATAAATTATTTTTAAAACATTTCATTGGGAAGGAAAACGTGTGAGTGAAGCTTTAATGACTTTTTTTTCTTTTAGAGAGGGAGAGAGAGAAATCTGTTTACATACAGAAAGAAAGAAAAGAAAAGTAGCAATTTTCAACAGAAAATCAACAGTGCAAAAGTAGCACCCAAATTACTTTTTAAATATTTCATCGGGAAGGAAGAGAGATTTAAAAAGAGAGAAATTTGAGATAAAAAAATAAATTGCTGACAGTAATTTGTAAGGAACTAGTTTAAAAAATAGTGATAGTGCTAGTGTCCGATTTTAAAAAATAATTAGTGTTTAGTTTACGAAATAGTTTGCTTTTGTTTAAGAAATAGTCAGTGCTTAGTTTACGAAATAGTGACAACACTAGTTTACTAAACAGTGATAATAATAGTGTTTGGTTTGAAAAATAGTCAGTGCTTAATTTACGAAATAGTGATAGTACTATTACTTGGTTTAATATATAGTCTATTGTGTTCGGTTTAAGAAATAGTCAGTGTTTAGTTTACGAAATAGTAATAGTACTAGCGTTCAGTTTAAGAAATATTCAGTATTCAGTTTACGAAATAGGCAGTGTTTAGTTCAAGAAGTAATGATAGTATTAGTGTTCTGTTTAAGATATAGTTAGTGTTTAGTTTAAGAATATTGTTCAGTTTAAGTAGTTAATGTTTAGTTTACAAAATAGTGTTTGGTTTAAGAAGTAGTCAATGTTCTATTTAAGAAATAATCACAGTATTAATGTTCATAAAACCAAATAATGAAAAATTTCTTTATTTTTGATTTTGTAATATTATTACTTAGTTTGTTCTAAAACAATTGAAAGAATAATCAAATAAACAAATAATAAAATAAAAATAAAATGTTTATAGAGTGAGGTGAAAAGGAGAGAGAAGAGTGGGGAGAGGTGAAAAAAAAAAAAAAAATAAGAAAAGGGAAAAAGTTGATGTGGATGGGTGAGGTGAAAGGGGAGAAAAAATGGATGTGAACGTACGAAAGAAGGAGAGAGAGAAAAAGGTTGCATGGTTAAGTGAGGAAGAGAGTCTGTGTGATGTGATGCGCGTCATTATATGTTTTTTTTTGTTTTGTTGTTACGTAAAACTTTAGTCATTTTCATTAAAATTTGAGTTCTTTTTATTAAATTTTAAGTCTTTTTTATTAAATAAAGTTAGTATATGGTTTTTTATTAATTAAAAATTTTGAGAAGCCATTTTCATTAAAGTTTTCATTTAAAAACTAAAATAACTTAAATTTAATATCCATAATCAACAACATCTTCATCATCTGCCATTGTAGGAATATAAAAAATATGAAGTTAATTATAGGAAAAAATGGAATTTAAATTTTTTTTTTGTGAAATATAAGTTATAGGAAAAAATGGAATTTAAAAAAAATATGAAACAAATTTTGTAAAATAAAAGTTATAGGGAAAAATAGAATTAAAAAAAAATGAAAAATAGAAGTTATATGAAAAATTTTGTAAATAAAAAATATTAATAAAACTGTAAAAAAAAAATTCAAATGCAACAGGTAGCTGACGTCAGTTAGCTGTTGCATTTAAATTTTTTTCTTAAGCATTCTTGTCGGTTATAACCAACAGGAAAGATGATTTTTTTGATCAGCTCTCCAACCCTTTCCGATTCCGTGGGACCCTCTCAGATTTCATAGTCTTTTAGCCTAACCCTTGGTTAGAGACGACTTTCAAATTATTTTCGAACCTCTGATCCTCTTGATCCTTCGATTGGAGATGACCTTATGTTGTAGGCATATCACAGCGTAACGCTTTTAGGTTTTTACTTTTTTTAGCTAATGCTTACGGTTAATAATAAGTAATGGGCGTTAGCTCTGTAGACTTTATAGGTTTAACTAATATTATAAAACTCTATTGCATAGGATTGGGATTGACCCACTAATCTCATCAGTCCGCCAGTTGAAGTTTACGTGTAAGAATGCAGACCAGATTATAGGATCCTATCCGGATCTTTTCTATCAGGATTCCTTCATCATATCTGTTCATTTATCATCTTACAGTAAAAAAATTATTTTAAATTACTTATTTAAAATTAAACACAAATAATAATTGATGATAATTATCCAAACTATATGATGAATAGACTTAATAAAATGATCTCCGTAATCCTTATAAAGAGAATTCAAACAAAATTCTCATCCATCTCAAAACTTGTATTCATAACGGCGTTGTCAAGGGTTAGCTCATAGTGGGCATCAACCACATTAAGTGCTCATCAACTACATTAAATGCTCATTAAGTGTTTTGTCTGTCCTCTCCGTTCTTCCGTGTTCTTCTGTTTTGTATGATCATAATTAAGTCACGTTAATATTTTATATTTTTTATAAAAATAATAAGATAAAAATAAATAATAATAAAAAATATTAATATAGTTTAACCGTAATCATATAAATAGAAAAATACGAAAGAACACCGAAAGTCGAATGGCCGACAATCCTTGTTCCCCGTTAAGTCATCCATGACGCCTGATAAAGGTCAAATCCCTAATTACATACTGACAAAAGGTCAAATCCCTAATTATAGAGTATGTCACTATCGATTGCAAATACCCAACCAGACACCATTAATGAAAGAACTGTATCCAAAACCGCGCACATTATTTTCAAGTTGCAATTGCATAAGGATATGTAAATACTGCAAGTGTTTGCTTGAGCATTTGGATAACTTGTATTCATATTACACTCGTCTCAATGGTTAGATCCGGCTTCAATTTTTGGGTTCAATTCCAAAATTTGAGCAAATTTAACTCATAGTGCTCACCAAAATTTAGGTTTTAAACTAATTAAATTCTTCTTCAATGATTGTGTTTAAAATAAGTTGTGGGTTAAACATAAAATTTTAAATTTGTAAATACATTAAATCTAACTATTGAAATTGAATATGATCAAATCTAATAGTAAAAAAAGAAATATAACGACCCAAAATTAAATATAATGGCTAAAACAAATAAAAAATATTTAAATCATAATTCACCCAAAAATTCTATAAATATATATTTTCAACTTTTTCGGAGTCTAAATATTTTTTTGGTTAACATATTCATAAAAATAAATTATGATAATCTACATAAATTTTATTTTGAAAGAAAATTACCAAAAAAAAAAAAATCTAAATTCATTCTTTAATATTCTCACACTAAAATTTTAATCTAGAACCAATAAAGTAAAAAAATTGTTCTAGGTTAAAATCTGAATTTTCTGTATTCAATTAAGAATTTGAGATATTTAAACGGATTTATAAACCCATATATTTTTATAGAGTTTAATTGATTTGTAGAGATTCCATGTAAAATTTTGATTCAATTCCCTCGAAATCTCACGGAAAGAGGTGGGATTTGTAAATGCTTTAAATACATTACATAATCTCTCCAATTCCCTCTAATTTCTCAACTTTTTTCAAATTCTTTAAAATCAAATTCTAATTGAATACATCTAAAATATTATAAATTTCTTTAAAATTATAATTGAATACATCCGAATTTATAAGGATTTTAATAAATTATCTTAAAATTATAATTGACTACACATTAAAAATTAAAAAAATCACTTAAAATTCTAATTGAATACGCTTAAATTCATTAAAAAAAATTAAAATCCTTCAAAATCTCAATTGCATACATCTCTCTTAGTTAAAAATGTTAAATTTTAGGGTTAATCTCAGTTTACTACCCTGAAGTTTTGTGGTTTTCAACATTTGGTATATGAAGTTTTTTTGTCCAAAAGTCATACCTCAAGTCTTAATTGGGGACAGTTTCATACATCTGTTAAGTTGGCTATTATGTCTGACGTTAACTAACGATGTGGCGCCTACGTGAACAATAAATAAATGTTACGTGTTAATATTGGCCCACTTAGATATTAAAAAATAAAAATAAAAAAAATTTCTTTGACCAAAAAAGAAATTTTTAAAAATTAAAATTTTTTAACCCTCCCCTTCCTTTCTTCCTCTCTATGTCTCTCTCGCTCATCTGGGATAAAACCCAGTAACCACCAACCACCAACCACCAATCTTTCCCCACCAGCCCAACCTCGTGAGCCGAGCTGCCGGAAATGGGTTCCCAATCAGACACCGAGAGAGAAAAATGAGAGCCCTCGCCGATCCCATCGCGCCGCCGATCACAATGCGGAGTCTCTCTGCCCAGTTCCCAACAATCCCTCCGTCTCGCCGGTATTTCAGTCTCACCTGCCTTCATGGGAGATCAGCGACTTCGAGGAGCAGCGAGAAGGGACGATCTTTAGGTTTTCGAGCAAGGCGGCGTCGGGTCGGGTTGAGAGTGGTAAATGGTTCCCGTTGAAGAGGAGAACCGGCTCGAAGGAGAAGAAAGGTATTGATGCTGAGGCTGAGAAGGATGAGGAAAGGTGGAGAGGTGGAGAGCGAATCACTCATGCTTCATTTCCCTTGTTCATGAGATGGTATCTCTCTCTTTCCCTTTAATTGTTTGATCTAATTCAAGACTAAAAGGGTAGGACTATTACCTAACTTTAGCAATTTTCTTTTTTAAGATAAATCAAAGGTTAATTTCTCTACTAGGAGAGAGGTTGGTGTTTGCTTGAAGAGGAGGAAAACTGGGAAGAATGTAGCCACTGCCCAACGTGGATGGTCTTCTTCCAAAGTTAATTTCTTGATTTTCCCTCTCTTTCTCGTTTCTGTTTGGTTACTGATCCAAAAAGCAAATAGGGGTTTTACTTTTTTGACGTCGCTCAGAGAAAATGGGGATCGCGGGGCTCTCATTTTTCGTTCTCGGTCTTCGATTGGCCCCATTTCCGGGGGCTCACGGGGTTGGGTCGGTGAAGAAGGGTTGGCATAAAGAAAGGAAGAGGAATGAAAAAAAAAACATCTTACTTTTTAATTTTTTAATATTCAAGCGGGCTCATATTGACACACGGCTCTCGTCTACGTGAGGGCCTACATCATCAGTTAATGGATATTTTGACGGAAAACTTTAAAGATATATGAAAGTGTTACAAAATTACGACTTTAGATACCAGATTGAGACGAAAAAAAACTTGAGGTATGAAATGTTGAAAACCGAAAAACTTTAAGATAGTGAATTGAGATTAATCCTAAATTTTAATATTAAGAGTTGAAGATGATCATAGAAATGAATAAATATTTTTAGCTAGCTAGTTGATTAAAGGGCTTCATTCAAGTCATTGGGGTTGTTTATTGATGAGAATAGATTGGGTGACGAATAAAAGTAGATTACGTCTAGGATTTAAAAACCTGCAAAATATTAATAAAAAATAGGATAAGTTACATTTTACGACTTTAGGTTTGAAGTCTATTGCAACTTTATACAACATCTTCGAAACATTTCATTTTCATATCTCAAGTACAATTTTATTTCAATATAATACATCCGTTACATTTTTCATTCATGGATCCGTTAAGAGCTAATATAGTTGTCAAATTTGTCCCACGTGGTTAAAAAAAAAAAATTTGTACATTTAAAATATAATAATATTTATCCTATTGAAAGAAAAAAAAAACATACAAACCCATAAAACCCATCCCCCGACCGACCTGCCTCTCATCCACTCTCTTCACCTCCCCTCCTATCCAAAAACCCACCCTCACCTCCCCCGCAGCCCCTACCCCACTCTCTTCGTAGTCCACAACGTCGTTGCCCTCCATTGCGCGGTGGAGTATTTGGAAATGATAGAAAAGATTGCTCTGGACCCGCCGCGAAATTGGCAGCTTCGGACAATACTGATTTACGACTCCAACAACGGGACCTTCTGGAATCGATCGTCGTGATCTTACTGACTGAGAAAGCTGCTATGTCGGTCAACTTCCTCTGCTACCTTCTCAGATCTGCGACGTTCGTCAAGGCATCGAGCACGTGCAAGACTAAGCTCGAGAGGCAGATCTCATCATTCATGGAGCACGTGACCGTCGACGGCCTCCTGGTGCTGTCGTTCACCTACGACGAGGAGAGTGAAGGAGATGAGGTGGCGGTGGGGTGGGTTTTTGGATGGGAGGGGAGGTGAAGAGAGTGGAGGAGAGGGAGGTGGGTCGGGGGATGGGTTTTCTGGGCTTGTATGTCTTATTTATTTATTATTTATTTTTAAATAGGATAAATATTATCATATTTTAAATATATAAAAAATTATTTTTTTTGCTACATGGCACAAATTTGACAGCCACATCAGCTTTTAACGGATCAATAAATGAAAAATGTAAAAGATGTATTATATTGAAATAAAATTGTACTTGAGGTATAAAAGTGAAATGTTTTGAAGATATTGTATGAGGTTGCAATAGACTTCAACTCGGAGGTGGTAAAATGTAATTTACCCTAAAAAATAATAATAATAACTGGGGTTAATATCGGATTTTTATTTTTTGAAACAAGTATGATAACCATTAAACAAGCAGAATTCGTACAAGCTGAGAATAATGTGCATATTAGGCCTTGATAAAAACCTTGCTGGGAATTTCAACCCTGTCGAAGGAAAAGAGTGTCCCGCACAACAGAAAACCTATCCTCAAATGAACAATCAAAATTACAAACCTTCCTGAAACAAAATATCTTGAATCAAGTCTGGAGGCTCCTTAAACCCCATTACTGAAGGAAGATTTGTGAAAAACAAGTTCATTTGAGCAACATCAACAACATGCAATTAACAATTAAAAGGCGGAATCATGTTTATATGCACTCAAAAACAAAACTTAACCCATGAACTTCAAAGCCTAGTAGATAGGTGAACCAAGACTCAACTCAAAACAAAGTGAGTTGAGAAATCAATACCTTTGTAGATTCCTCTTTGCATAAGCAAAGGCTAATCACCCAAAGAGAGGGCCTTCATTCCTTGCATCTTAGATCCATGGATTTGGATGGATGAAAAGGTTTCTCCAAGTTCCCAAAATTGAGAACCTCTAATGATTCATCACCAAGGCATAATGAAGAAGAAATGAGTGACCTTGGAGGAGTTTGATTGCTAGATGATCCCTCCAAGGTGGCCGAAATTTTAGAGAGAAATGAGAGCTTGTGTTCTCATCCTTTCCCCAAAAATTACCATACATCAATTTTAGGCTATAAAGTCCTTTATATAGTCCCTTCAAATAAGTGACCTAATGGACCAAAAGCCCTATTCTTCTAACATGGCCGGCCTATAGGGTTTATTGGGCTTTCAAGCCCTTTGTTTATTCAAGTTGTCATACAACTTGAGTTAATGGGCTTGACATTCAAATCCCATTGGGCCTTGCGGCCCAAAACTAACCCGAGGTCTTTAACGAACTTATTCGTTTGATTAATTAACATATTAATTAATCCTAGCCTTAGATAAATAATTAAACCATTTAATTATTCTTACTCATCTCCGTTGTTTCTTCAAACTCTACCTTACTCGGTGAACGATCCATTAGGTTCCTTTTAGCGAGGCAGTGGACGATTAAAAACTCTTTCTAATCGATTGTGAATTGAAACTTACTTTCAATTCTCCCGTTAGTGATTATACACGTTTAGGGCTTCCACAAACCATGGTTGACGCCTAGCAGCATGTCATGGTTACCCAAGCTAATCAGAAGAGGTGGAGAACCTATTCTGTTTTAGGATTACAAATGCAATACGGTCTTTCTCTAATACAATACTATTGACCACATTGTTTGGTTTGATAGTTTATTCATGTCTACTATTCAATGTGAATCTTGTACTTATATGATTACCTTGAATGTGATCTGGAACGCATTCCAACATCTCATTCATACTCTGGCCAGAGATTCTAAATCATATCATAGAGTATTCTCCCTCAAACAGTTTGAAGGTTAGAGATCCCTTGTTGCGTATTCACTTGCCTCCATGGTTAAGTGGCTTAACCCCGACGATGCCGTGGACACCCTGATAGAGTGACTTTGACATAATCAAAGATCAAGTACCTAACCACAAGACAGCTGTGATGCCTCAGGTCAAAGGACTACTTTGCATTATCCCAACCATGAGTTCTCATGTGACATGAATATGAGAACTCCTCGTTGATCGTGTTCAGTGAACTCATTCTCTATTGAGCACCTACATGCTTGTCTTGGTGTCATTCACACCAATGACTCGAGACTAGTCACTCTCCCTGAGAGAAGACATAGCACGTATTGATCTTAACGGATTGTCAATGCTCAATTGGCAATCCTATGATCAGGAACGTTTAGGATGTGTCTACGAAAGAATGGTCTCATGAATCTAACTTCTTTAGATCGCATTCTCCCAATCACATATTCCTTGGACTTATCGTTTAAGCATATAACATTTATATGAGACGGCTCAAACAATAATGTTTGCCCTTAATATTAAACTAGATTAGTTTAACATGTGAAATGTCCATAAAGTATCATCATATGATTGGTTTTAGGGCACATTTCCAACAATTACCTCTTGAGCATTCGCAATCCCTAACCGAGCAAGCCGATGAGCCACCGAAATCCCTTCACGCTGGACATAGCTGACCACTAAATTCGACCATTCCTGAAGAAAGCACCATAAATCATTAATTATGGGACCGAAAATAGAGCTATCATCCCCCTGACCTTTCATTGCTGCTAACACCAACGATGCATCTCCTTCAAATTGAATCCTCACATCCGCCGCATATATAGTCTTGGCTAACAGAACCGCTTGCCGAGCTGCAATGAACTCGGCATGCAAAACATTAGAAGATCTCAAAATAGGACCAACGGAGGCAGTAAGAAAATTCCCCCAACAAGCACGGATGACCACCCCAAACCCTCCTCGGTGCTCTCTTTGATTACAAGCACCATCAAAATTACACTTTACCCAACCCTCCAGAGGTTTACCCCACTTATGAGGCACATGTTTGGCTGTCTTCGCTTTTGGCTTATGCTATTTGTGGTACTCCTTCAACCACCCCTCTCATTGCAAAATTATCTTAAATGGAAAAAGGATATTGCCATTCCACATAACCTCATTGCAATGTTTCCATAAAGACCAAATCAACAATAAACAAAGCTCAAATCCCGGAGCCGAAACCTGCACTTGTACGTGCGCTAACCAATTCATGAAAGGCTCCATGTGCCTTGATTCTACCTTTATACCAAGGCCTCGAAACCACACCCATCTAGCTACATGACAATCCCGCAATACATGCTCCGCTAATTCCACCTGTCCCCCACACACTACACAATCCACTGTAATTGGTACCTTCTTTTTAGAAAGATCCAACCTAGTGGGCAATGAATCCAAACATGCTCGCCACACGCATACCTTCACTTTCCCTGGAACATAAGCACTCCACAACTTCCTCCATAATGACTCACCCAAGCTATTTGAGGGCGACGAGGAACTCGCTGCCTCTTCCCCATTAGCAATATTCATTCCCTTGGCAACATGGTATGCACTTCGGACAGTAAACTTACCGGGTTTTTCAAAATGCCAAACCCGACGATCAGCAATATTTCGTAAACTAAGCGGAATCCCTCGAATTAAATCCACTTCTTCCTGAGAAAACAATTCATTCAACAATCCCACATTCCACTGCTTTGATTCCATCCAAAACAACCCCTCTACCGTGGTTTCCTCATCCCATTGTACCGGAGGTGGAGTCAAGATTCGGAAGCAGTACTCCCTCAAAACTCAATTATCCTTCCATACACGAACTGTTTTCCCATCACCCACCTGCCATCTAACTCCTTTATTAAGCACCGGTCTCGATGCTGCAATACTTCTTCAAACATAGGAACTATT